AAGGCCCAATGCGTCGAGCGCACGCATGCGACCGGCAGACACAGCGCAAGGTTGTGGTCAGTCCACTTGATGCAACCGCCGTCTTTCAGGATGGTCGTCGAACACTGGGCAGCGCTGCGCAGCGTGCGAGTGGCACCACGATCGGTACTGTCGGTCGCACTGCGGCCATCGGTGGTAGGCGTCGCCGCAGTCGCGACACGACGGGTGCTGGTAACTCGGACAGTCGGCGCGGCGCTTGTTCATCTTCTTGTTCTTGTGGTGACAGTGGCGACCGCGCCCGCGGGGCGAAACGCAGGAGGGCCAGCGTCATCTCATCTCCTTGACGGCCGCCGGGGAGCTCGACGTGCCATGTAGTCGTCGAGGGCATTAGGTGCCGAGCGCGCGAAGACCGCTGCAGCGACCAGCACTTCCGCGGCAAAGGATGTACGACACAGGGCACACAGCGCGCCGAAGCGCGCCATGGCCCTTGGAATGGCGTCCCCCCAAAAAAAATTGTCAAAACGTCAGCTGCAATGGCAACCCATTGGTCGTGCATTGACCCATGCCGTTGGTGCACCACTGGAAACGTCGTACAACATGGCGTCAATACGTAAACCACTCTACGTTATGGCGTTATGGTGCTATTGCAATCGTAGACGCCCATCGCGTCATATACATGATGAATCTTTGATAAAAAGTGGGCCCAAACTCAGTCCTTCTATCTAGGCTCTTGCGGACGCTGGGTTTGGAACTGTATCGGCAATGTCATCGTGCCGTTGCAGACAACTCATCGTGCGAGAGCAGTATGTATGAGTTGTCCTGAACGTACGTAGATGCAGCACAAAGGACGGACACGTTAGTAGCACAACTATACACGCACATCGACTCTGGACTCTACTGCAGTCTACTATGTGCACCCCGCACCATTTTTCGCGCCTTCAATCGAGTGCACCACCTGTTTGTGCAGAACAACTGCAAACCGTTACCCAGTTTTGCGGTTGTAAATCAAGTTGCCAATCAGGTCTGCTGTTCGATCGCACGCCATCAGACGACATCGCCCTTTTTGCCTTTTCAACCGTAACCGGTCGAGTTTGCACTTGATATTGCACTATCATGCAGACAAGGCGAGACAGAGAGGTGAGGCCGACATGGCGGCGGCGCGCTCGCTTCTCCCGTCACGACGAGAGGCTCGGAGATATTCATGGAGCGTTCGGTGGCTCACATAAACAGCGAATGCGAATGATATCCGAGCTACTTGTTGAACCAAGGGACGTTCGAAGCATCAGACGCGTGGGTACTTTGCTTGCCCGCCCATCATCCCAACAATGTGCGCCTCGA